TCTAATGTAAAATATGACAGATTACTGGATTAAGGAAATGTCTAGTATGCTATCACACATAATAATTTTTGAGAATTTGGAAACAGTTACTTTTTGTTTCCATTTTAAGTAGGGGGAACAGATTTTATCAGGCGCTTAAAATATTTTGTTCCCCCATCCTAACTTTGGCAAATAAAGAGCTAATGTTATGAAAATCACAGGATTTCTTGGTGATGATAAGAGGAATCAACACAGTAAAAGACTTGCAGGTAAATTAATTTGTTTCCATTTTAAGTAAGGGGAACAGATTTTATCAGGCGGTTAAAATATTTTGTTCCCCCATCCTAACTTTGTCAAAAATAGAGCAAATGTTATGAAAATCACAGGATTTATTGTTGATGATGAGGGAATGAAGACAGTAAAAGACTTGCAGGTAAATTAATTTGTTTCCATTTTAAGTAGGGGGAACAGATTTTATCAGGCTGGTGAAATATCCATTCTCTCCTCTTCTCCCCCATAACTTTGGGAAATAAAAAGTAACTGTTTCCAAATTCTCAAAAATTATTATGTGTGATAGCATACTAGACATTTCCTTAATCCAGTAATCTGTCATATTTTACATTAGAACGGGATTTACCAAAAAGTCTACACTCTGATCTTTTCAGGAAGTCTTTATTTTTGTGCCCTGCTATCGGCCAGCTTCCCTCCTCTTGTATCGGAAATGAAAAATTATAAATGCACACTTCGTGTTGGGAACCTGTGTTTGTTGACTGACTTTTATTTGTGAGGCTTAAGAGACAAAAGCTGAAAAAAAGATCGATTCTCTTCGCGTTTAAAATAACACAAAACAGCGTAAAAAGACCTCCACACAAGACCTCGTTTATTTGTATATGTATTTTTATTTTGATAGCTGCCGATTAAACTGAAAGTTACAACATTGACATAATTATATGAGTAGTTTTTACCGAGAAATCGATCAGAAGCGCCGTGAAAATGGTCAGATCCGCCGGATCCACCTCTCTGGCTGCAATGCGCGCTCCCGACACAGGGGGGACAGATTTTGGTACACCCACTGTGAAAGCTTTTATTGCTTTCACAATAAAAGCGCACATCCGGTCAATTGAGCTATATTGTGTGCTTGTGTCAGTAAGCGAGCAAAGACCAAAGAGAAAGTCTTTGTTTATGTTGGCATAAACGCAGGGCTTCAATGAACGTGTTGCGCACAAATATTACACAACAAAATAAGTTCTTTAAATCAATCAGAAGGCAGAACTGGAGCTAAACAGCGCCTTAATTTTCTATATCACAATTCAAATCAAATTATCACCCTTTTTTCATAAAATTTGCAGATACTCATTTCTATTACTCAAAAAAAAAAACGCACACACAATTAACATTGTCAATCTGACTAATACAATTTGTGCCACAGATTCATAATATTCTTAATGAGACAACAAATAAAACCAACTTTACTTGTAAGATTGTGCTGCTTTTTGCACTGCGGTGTAGCGTCCTCTAAACTGCTGTGATGCAGCACCTGAAGCTCCACTGAACACGAGCTGTATGATAAGAAAAATCTTTCTAAAGCTTCAAATATGGAAGTACATATGTGACATCAGGATTTGAATTAAAAATGACTATGAAATTTTAATGTTGTATATTTGTGCTTACTTTTTCAGTGTTAAAATATATCCTGAATATATTTTAACATAGATATACAACATTCAAATTTCAGAGGCATATTTAATTCAAATCCTGATTGCACCTATTTACTTCCATATTCAAATCAATTAAATAAAAATAGTAACCCTAAACCTTGAACTATTTTCTGCTTTTAGACATCACTTCTTCATTTTGGCTAATGACAGAAACACCTCTACCACCTCTTACTTTAACCCTTCCACGTCGTCGTAGGAAACAAAGTTGCAGAATGCATTGTTCCTGTTAGACAGAACTCCTCACATTCTTGCTAAGTTGACAACAAAGGTTGATCTAATTGGTACATCTAATTGCTGTTTCACAAAAAAAAAAAGAAAATCGGTTTAACGTAATAATTAGAAACCAGTGTGTTACTAATTGAAGGGTGCGAATATAAAGGAAAGTAGTGTTTTGAAAACTAAAAAAAAGAAAAGTTCACATCCTGTACCAGCGGGGTGTAGCTAGTGACGCCTCTTCAGACCAGGCTCAGTCTGTTGTCGCCCAGCAGAGAGGAAGCATGAACTTCACAGCACTCTGCGCTGCTCTTGGTGAGTTCTAGATGTGTTATTCACTTTACTTTATATGCTTATTTTTACAAGAGGTGAAGGTCTATGAAACAGATCTTTGTCTGTGATGTCAGGTTTCTGTTTCAATGTGTTTTTCTGTTTTATTTGATCCACTAAAAAAGAAGAAGAAGAAGTAAATAGGCCTTTCCAGGTTCTGTTAGGGAGAATCGGCATGCTTTGTTTCATTGTGTTTATTTGTGATGCTATAAGTGAAAACCAATAATGACAGATGTTACTCAACCAGTTGTTTGCCCATCTGTCCTTTTAACGTCTATAATTATCACTGACTCGTGTTGTTTCGGGTTGTGTCATGGCCAGAGTGCACTGAATACATTTAAACCCATTTTCTCACCATGGCTCAGTCTGGCCTCGCTCTGCAGCTGCTGTGTGAAGACATTAACACCAGACCACCACAGGCCTCGCCTTATAAACTAGAAATGTCACATCCGTTTTTACATCTACTTACAACACAACCGTCTATGGACTGCGGCATGGACACCGTTACATAGACAAACGTCTTCGGTTAATCCATTTTGAATTTTATTAAATATTGTTTTGCTTATAATAATTTGAAAATATTACAAATATTAGAATTATATTGCTAAAAACAAAAAAAAAAAACTCTATGACCACAATGAAAGCTTGAATTTTCTTTTGAGATATGATGGAGGGATCGAAATGCAGGCGTGAAAATGTAGATTGGCCAAAAATGAAAACGCTTGTATTAAGACAAGGAGACTTTGGAAAACGAAGCTGGTGAAAAGGCAAAAGAAGAACATTTGAAGAACCTACGACCTGGTGACTGAACAGAAACAGCTTTAAAACCTAAACTCAGACTCTCCTTCTTTCTCCTTCAGCTGTTGTGAGAATCCTTCCGAACAGATCTCAGTTCTTTCTGCACGATTCGGTTACGCTGAGCTGTGTGGACAGTGAAAACTCTTCCGACTGGACATTGAAGAGAAACACGGCCAAGAACCAAAAGACAGACTGGGGAAAGAGAAACGGGTCACAGCGTATAATAGATGCTGTTTATCCGTTTGACAGTGGGCGGTACTGGTGTGAGTCTAGAGCCGGAGCGCGCAGCGAGATCATTAATGTTACTGTGACAGGTGGGTGCAGGAAAATGTTTGGTTTGTTTCCATCAATGAGGAGAAGTGATTATGAAACTGGCAGGACCGACCCCTCAGATTCAGCTTTTTATCGATTTTGTGAGTCACAGTCTGAGGCTAGCTTGAGGTAAACATGCACAAAATGTCAGTTATCTCTTTTTTTTCTGTTGACAACATATTCAGGGCACATTACTGAAGTTTTGATCCAACAAAACTATTAACTATATATTTTGATATTTTTAGTAATTTTTTGGTGTTTTTTTTATTTTTTTTGCAGAGGCTTCGATATAAATTAAGCGATACAAATTAATCCAGAATTTCAAGCATTAAAACCAGTTTTCTTTTTCACCTACATATTACCAAATGGGTTTTTATTGTTATTTCAATTTTATGTATGTGTAAAATAGCAGCACTTCTGAAATTTTCATTAAACTTCTGCTGCCATCATGTGTTGATGAATTATATGGCTATATGGATTAGCTATATAAATACACATCAGTAAATTGGCACAAATACTATTTTCATTAAAAAAAAATGTATCTGTAAAATGGCTGTTTTGAGTCTTGATGGAACCTGTAAATGGACTTACGTGTGTCTACTGCTGTGTAGGCCGTAGACACATGTGAACGCTAAAAATAAAATAAAAACACTACTATGTGGGTAGATTTGTTGGGACTTATTATTTCATCCAGAGATAATGTGTCATTTATCCCTGCCTGTCGTCCAGACGGCCCTGTGATCCTGCAGAGTCCTGTCCTTCCTGTAGCCGAGGGGGAAGCAGTGATTCTGCGTTGCATCCATAACCAGGCCTCTTCCTCCTCCAACTTTACGGAGTTTTATAAAAACGGCCTCCTGATCGGAAGCAGCTCAACTGGGAGCTTCACTATCCGAGATGTTTCCGAGTCTGATGAAGGCCTCTACAAATGTAACATTACAGGAGCAGGGGAATCCCCAGAGAGTTGGCTGTCAGTCAGAGGTGGGAAGGAAATATTGCGATGAATTTCAGTAAATTTCTGATGAAGGTGTTGGTGGGTGTCATCCCACTTATTGGCTTTTTTTTCTAACCTCCAAACCAAATTGTTTTTTTTCCCCCCTCACTTGTACGTCGCCGCAGGATGCCAGCTAGACTCCTTTCACTTTCATCCCATGTACGTGTTACTTCCTGTTGTTGCCACCTGCCTCTTGTTTGTCTGTGGGATGCTGCTATGTCTAAGGAGGATTGTCGAAGGTCAGCCCCATTTCTTATAAATCAAGTGACTTTTTAATGCAAAAAAATAAAACGGAGATAAGAAATTTTTTTTTTTTTTTGCCAAAAAGTACATATGTGGTTTTTTGAGTGCTTGCCAACATGGAGAGAAATCACCAACCAAGAGAATCAATACCATCCGGTCTTACTGATAAGAAAACAAATGAAACACTGTGTATAATATTTATCCTTTCCATCTTACAATAGCTCTAAGTTGATTTAATGAAACCTCTACACTGTAAACCAGCTGCTGTTTAGTTAACAGATAATTCTGCTCTGTAGCTGAAGTGGATGATGACGTTTCCTACACTGACGTCACCTTCCTACACAAAGAGGCGCCGAAGACAAACTCAGGTAAACAGGCAAACACATGGACTCGAATATGAATAGCAACAGTTCAGGTAGGACACTAGTGTTGGTTAATTTTATATCTTTTTTCAATAAAAGTTGTGTTTTGTTCTAACACAACACTTTAATATTCATTTTTTTTAAAAACTGAAATTCTTTAACATGGACTGTTGGATGTTTTTTTGTTAGTTTGCTGACTCTGACTTTCATTCCCTGTGGGTTTTTCTATTTTTTATTTATTTTTTTTAATCAATTTTTGGGGTGCAAAAATTACACTCCAAATTTTTTGTTTCATTTATATTTCAGTGTGTTTCATAGAAAACAAACAGGATGATAAGAGGCCTCCAAAAGTCCTCACTTTCAACGTGCTCGTCTTAATCACACCTGGAAAAACTACAAAATTAAAGATGAATTAAATGCAGATATAACTGCGTACTTGCGGTCACATTTACATTAATTGACATTTTAACTGCATTCAGTGATGCACCACTTACATAGGTGTGGTAACAGATTGACTATAAAAAGGTTAAGTGGAAGATACATACAAACTTGTCCTTGTAAGTTGATGAATAACTGGAATAAAACTTTTATTTGCAGAGACGACTTCAGAGCTAAAGCTGTACTCAACAATCAAACCAGGAAACTGCTGAAAGGAACCCACCTGATGCGATCACAGCCATATTCTTTGTTGGATCTTTATGTGTTTTATGTAGTAAGTATTGTGTGTGTGTGTGTGGGGGGGGGGGGGGGCTAGTGTAAAAACAAGTCTTTTGTTTCAAAATTATGTGAAACATTTCTCATTAGCGTTTTGTTTGAAAAATCAGAACGAAACAAGAAATATTTTGACTTAAATCTCACAGAACATTGTGCATTAAGTTATCCTGTCACATTCTGAGTCCTTACCTTCTTCCCATTCAGACGTAATACTTTTTTTTTATTTATCAAAACAATGTACTTCCTGTAACGGAATTTGTTTTTGTCAATGTCAAGTGGGATTTCTACAGCTTATAAGAACATTTGAATGCGGCATTATGTTAAATAAAGATACGTTTTTCTTGAAAAGCAAAAAAAAAGGCATGTTGTTCAATATGTCAATAAGTGTTGACTCTCACCTATCACTGGTAAGTTACTAAGATTGTTACTAAAATCTGAATTTATGTTATTTGGCTCATAGATATACAACAAACAATTGAGCTAAGAGTGGAAAAAATGACTCATGAAAGGAAAAATATCCTTGAAGTTACTCTGGAGTTTATGAGTAAGTTAAAAATGTTAACCGCACAGTAAGCAAAATCTCCATCAATGCAATGCACAGCATTAATCTGTACCCAAAAATAAGCAGCCTCATAACAGTGACTTCTTCTGGACGGGTTTAGAGCAGGGCTCAGTTTTTATTTGTCAGCACTTCACAAATTAAGACAATGGTTGTACAAATCTGGGATGCAATACAAAGCAATAATAATATAAATAAATGAAACATATGATGAATTTCCATAACAGAAACTCTATCAGAAAATTAATAAGCAAAATGTAGAGTTCTTCCTTGGAATACAAAAAGATTAAAAAATTATTTCAAAAAGCGGGCTGGAAAGAATTTATGAACCACAAAATTAAAGAGGCAGAAAACACATTGAAAAATATATAAAATTAACCAACTAGGTCGTCAAGTACGGTTAAAAAAAAATACTACCATGACCTATTGGATATTAAAAAATCCCATTAAATATATTTGGACTTTTGTGGCATTATTAAAAGCAGTTGTAAACAACAGCAAGCTTACAATACATATTTTACGGTGACAAAGAATAATGAAAATGGAAAAATGGTAGTTAACTGCTTCAACTATTTTTTGCCATTGTTTGGCCTAAAATCCACTAGAAAGAATCCTCCACACAGAACTATCTCATTGACTGATTATATTGTCGGAAATCCTAGCTCCATAAAATATTTTTAAAGGAAAATAATTTTCCTAATTGCACTGCCAAATAAGAATTGTGGAAGAAATTATATGAGAGTTTCAATAGCTGTACAGGTACAGCATCTGATAATAGCCAAGGACATTCTGGAAATGGTGCAACGTTTGTATATAAGGTACACATGTGCTACTGGGAGTATCTGGTGTTGGGCTAAAAACTGTGGTGGTGTTAGACTGTGCTGATGTGGAACTTGGAGAATCTGACATTGAGTGAGCTTTTGTGCTGGTTCTAGATGGTTCAAATGTCGTACCGGAAGAATCTAGAGTTGGGTTAGAAACTGTAATAGTGGTGGATTGTCCAGATGTGGTACTAGGAGGATCTAATGTTGGAATTGAAGGTGTGGTGGTGCTAGACAGTTTATGTGTTGTACTGGAAGCATCTGGCTTTTAGCTATGGTTGTGCTAGACTTTGCAAATGTGATACTTGGAGAATCTGACGTTGGGTGAGCAGGAGTGCTGTTGCTAGACGGTTCAGATGTCGTTCCCAAAGAATCTAGTGGTAGAGCTAGATTGTGCAGATGTAGAACTCAGAGGATATGATGTTGGAGCTGAATGTGTGGCGGTGATAGATGGTTCAGATATGGTACTGGAAGGATATGATGTTAGGCTTTTATGAGGGGTAGTTTTAAACGGTTTGTGTGTGGTACTGAGAGTATCTGGTGTCAAGGTGTGTCTAGACAGTTCAGGTGTGCTGCTGGATGTACCTGTTGCTGGGGTTTTATGTGTAGTTGTGCTAAACAGTGCAAATGTGGTACTCACAGTATCTGACGTTGGATGAGCAGGTGTCCTGGTGCTAGATCTAGTAGGAGGATCTGATGTAGGGATAGGAAGTGTGATCATGGTGGAAGATGCAAGTGTGGTACTTGGTGTACCTGTGGCAGTGCTAGACCATACAGATGTGGAACTCGGAGGATACGATATTGCAGCTGAAGGTGTGGTTGTGCTAGATGGTGCGTATGTCATACTGGTAGTATCTGCTGATGGACTAGAAACTGTAATTTTTGTAGATGGTACAAACATGGTACTAGGAGCATGTGATGTTGGAATTGAAGATGTGGCAGTGCTAGACGGTGCAAATGTGGTACTTGGGAAATCTGACGTCTTGTAAGAAGGTTTGCTGCTGCTATATGATTCAGATGTCATACTAAATGGGTCAGGCATTGAGCTAAAAAATGTGCTGGTGCTAGACCGTGCTGATGTGGAACTGGGAGCATATGATGTTGGGATAGAAGGAGTGATGGTGCCAGATGGTACAGAAGTCGTACTTGGGGGATACGATATTGGGCTAGAAACTGGGGAGAGTGTAGATGGCTCAGATATAGTATGGGTAGTATCTGATGATTGACCAAAAACTGTAGTGGTCATAGATAGAGCTGATGTTGTACCTGGAGGATATGATGTTGGAATTGAAGAAGTGGTGTAGCTTTGAGGATGCAGTGTTGGGCTAGAAACTGTGGTGAGTGTAGATGGCTCAGATATAGTATGGGTAGTATCTGATGATTGACCAAAAACTGTAGTGGTCATAGATAGAGCTGATGTTGTACCTGGAGGATACGATGTTGGAATTGAAGGTGTGGTGGTGACAGGTTGTTCAGATATGGTACTGGAAGAATATGATGTTGGGCTTTTATGTGGGGTTCTTGTGCTAAATAGTGCAAATGTGGTACTTGGAGTATCTGCTGTTGGGCTAACAGCTGTGGCAGTGCTAGACCATGCAGATGTGGAACTCTGAGGATACGATGTTGCAGCTGAAGGTGTGTTTGTGCTAGATGGTGCGTATGTCATACTGGTAGTATCTGCTGATGGACTAGAAACTGTAATTTTTGTAGATGGTACAAACATGGTACTAGGAGCATGTGATGTTGGAATTGAAGATGTGGCAGTGCTAGACGGTGCAAATGTGGTACTTGGGAAATCTGACGTCTTGTAAGAAGGTTTGCTGCTGCTATATGATTCAGATGTCATACTAAATGGGTCAGGCATTGAGCTAAAAAATGTGCTGGTGCTAGACCGTGCTGATGTGGAACTGGGAGCATATGATGTTGGGATAGAAGGAGTGATGGTGCCAGATGGTACAGAAGTCGTACTTGGGGGATACGATATTGGGCTAGAAACTGTGGTGAGTGTAGATGGCTCAGATATAGTATGGGTAGTATCTGATGATTGACCAAAAACTGTAGTGGTCATAGATAGAGCTGATGTTGTACCTGGAGGATATGATGTTGGAATTGAAGAAGTGGTGTAGCTTTGAGGATGCAGTGTTGGGCTAGGAACTGTGGTGGTTGAAGATGGTTCAGATGTGGTGTGGGTAGTATCTGAGGATGGGCTAGAATCTGTGGTTGTGCTAGATGGTGCCCACATGGTACTAGAAGGATATGATGTTGGAGTTAAAGGTGTTGTGGTGCTAGAGGGTTCGTGTGTTGTACTGGGAGTATCTGGTGTTGGGCTTTCTGTTGGGATGGTGCTAGAAAAAGCAAATGTTGTACTTGGAGAATCGGACGTTGGGTCAGCAGGTTTGCTGGTACTAGACGGTTCAGATGTTGTACTGGAAGCATCTGGTGTTGGGCTTTTAGCTGTGGTTGTGCTAGACATTGCAAATGTGGGACTTGGAGAATCTGACGTTGGGTGAGCAGCTGTCCTGTTGCTAGCCAGTTCAGATGTCGTTCCGAAAGAATCTAGTGTTGAGCTAGAAACTGTGGTAGTGCTAGATTGTGCAGATGTGGAACTCGGAGGATATGATGTTGGAGCTGAAGGTGTGGTGGTGATAGATGGTTCAGATATGGTACTGGAAGGATATGATGTTAGGCTTTTATGAGGGGTAGTTTTAGACGGTTTGTGTGTGGTACTGAGAGTATCTGGTGTCAAGGTGTGTCTAGACAGTTCAGGTGTGCTGCTGGATGTACCTGTTGCTGGGGTTTTATGTGTAGTTGTGCTAAACAGTGCAAATGTGGTACTCACAGTATCTGACGTTGGGTGAGCAGGTGTCCTGGTGCTAGATCTAGTAGGAGGATCTGATGTAGGGATAGGAAATGTGATCATGGTGGAAGGTGCAAGTGCGGTACTTGGTGTTTCTGCTGTTGGGCTAAAAGCTGTGGCAGTGCTAGACCATACAGATGTGGAACTCGGAGGATACGATATTGCAGCTGAAGGTGTGGTTGTGCTAGATGGTGCGTATGTCATACTGGTAGTATCTGCTGATGGACTAGAAACTGTAATTTTTGTAGATGGTACAAACATGGTACTAGGAGCATGTGATGTTGGAATTGAAGATGTGGCAGTGCTAGACGGTGCAAATGTGGTACTTGGGAAATCTGACGTCTTGTAAGAAGGTTTGCTGCTGCTATATGATTCAGATGTCATACTAAATGGGTCAGGCATTGAGCTAAAAAATGTGCTGGTGCTAGACCGTGCTGATGTGGAACTGGGAGCATATGATGTTGGGATAGAAGGAGTGATGGTGCCAGATGGTACAGAAGTCGTACTTGGGGGATACGATATTGGGCTAGAAACTGTGGTGAGTGTAGATGGCTCAGATATAGTATGGGTAGTATCTGATGATTGACCAAAAACTGTAGTGGTCATAGATAGAGCTGATGTTGTACCTGGAGGATACGATGTTGGAATTGAAGGTGTGGTGGTGACAGGTTGTTCAGATATGGTACTGGAAGAATATGATGTTGGGCTTTTATGTGGGGTTCTTGTGCTAAATAGTGCAAATGTGGTACTTGGAGTATCTGCTGTTGGGCTAA